ATTCCTAAACAGCACATACCCTTCCATACCTGTACTCCAGTCATGACTACTGTTCCACCATGTTTCGGTTATACCTATGATATCCGGTTTCATTTCTTGGACCAGGAGCTCCAATTCCTCCATTTTGTTACCTAGGCTTCTTGCATTGGTGTATAAACATCTTACTGTATGCTGTTTATCCTTTCTCCCATTAGTTATGCAATTTGGTACGGATCCCGTACTGTCCATCTGCCCCCTCCTTCTTATGTCCAATCCCTTACCCCTACCTATATCTGTGCTTATCTCTTCACCCTCCTTTTCAGTGTTTGAATCTGGCGTGGAGATTAACTGGACATCTCCCAACCGTCTCCCCCAAATTCCTAGTTTAAAGCCCTTTTGATGAGATGAGCCAGCCTCCCTCCCAGAAGTCTATTTCCTTCCCTACTCAGGTGAAGTCCATCCCGTGAGAACAGCTGTCTGTCCCCGAAAGCCTCCCAGTGGCCATACATCCCAAAGCCCTCCTTATAGCACCACTCCCTTAGCCAGCTATTTATCCTCACAATTCTATCAGCCCTTTGCTATCCTTCTCTAGGAACAGGCAGAATCCCACTGAAGATAATCTGAGCCTCGACTTCCTTAAGCGTCTTCCCCAGCCTGGCATAATCTCCCTTGATTCTCTCTAGCGAGAACCTCGCCGTGTCATTCGTTCCTACGTGAAGGATGATCAAGGGGTTCTTACCCGCTCCTTTTAGGATCCTTTTCAACTGCAGGTCCACATCCCGTATCTTAGCGCCTGGCAGACAGCACATCCTTCTGTTCTCTGGGTCCGCCCTGGTCACAGGCCTGTCTAACCTCCTCAGTAAGGAGTCCCCAATCACATAAACCTGCCTTTGCCTGGTGACAGTGCGATCTACTAATCTATCCCCTGTTCCCTGTAGTCGTAACTCCTGTAGTCGTAACATCACTGGGGTGTTTTCCCAAATTACTACTGTGTTCCCTCTCCTTTTAATATACATTTTATTTTGTTATACACAGACAATGTGCATGCAAGTGGAGAAGTACGGCCTCGGAGAGGCACCCAGGCATGATGATTAGTTTCCCCAGATTTCTGGGTGGGGACTCGAGCTGGTTCTGTTTTGTAATGTTAAGAGGAACCCTTAGATATGAACATAGCCCTTGTTGCTACAGCCACCACCTGGTAGAAAGGTTACAGAAAGGAATCTTGTTTCCCTATAGAAACCTTAAGCCCTGGACTGGACATTCTGCCTTCACAATGAGGTCAGAAACAGGTTGAGTAGTGGATGCACAAGAAACTCCGCGAGGAGAACCTCAGAGGAGCTTTCAGAGGACTTTATCCCCGGCTAGAGCCTCTTTCAGAGGAAGATGCAATCTGTCTCCAAATTAGGTCAACTTACCTTCTAAGTTAGCAGCCTGGATGTTTGTTCTACCCTTCAGTGCTTAGCAATTACATGTGCAAAAGTAATAATTCATTTAAATGTCAAAATAACATATGCTTTGTGATTTCAGTAGCTGAAAAGTAAATGAACACAGATGCATGTTTCCTATTGATGTAAAACAAAATTAATCTAATTGTAAGTAGTTTGGGGAACAAATTACATTAATTTTGTATATATTTATCTGATATTTAATCAAAAGTAATATATATGTCATCCAAGGTATCAATGTACTATTTCATATACTTCAGGTGTTTCTATAACAATGCTGTCAATTCTACTAATTAGAACACATATGAGGGATGTGTGTGACCTGTAACGCTCCATTGTTCTGCAGACAAAAATATAATGAAATATGTCTTCCTCCCATTGGAGAGTAATGAAGAACAAAACTAATTTGTTGGACCAAAAATTAATTAGACACATCAGATTCGATTGTACCTATTACTGTGAAAGTTTGCAGCTGTTCCTCATATTATTACACCAACTATAAAATGTAAGTATGAACATGCCAACTGATTACTGAAAGAATAGCTATATTATTAATCAATATTATTTTAAAAATTATTTCTTCTTATAATCCAACTACATTTTCTTCTCTAGCATCCTCAACACTGGTGAGCAAAATTTTAGGTTTTTTTCCTAGAAATAACAAGTTTGACGTATATTTCTTTATAGAAGCTTTGCAAGGTTTGAAGACACGTGCAGTTCATGGAAAGAGCACAATTCATAACTGTTTCTTTGTATTAGACCAAGCAATCAAAATATAGTTTCAAGATCGTAATTACAAATCACAGTAAGAAAGTATTTTAATGTAATTAGGGAAGAAAAATTTATTATAGATATCTGGATATGTGATTAGAATGGCAAGGTAAGATATCACTGTGGTATTATTTATACTGCACCATAGTTGTGCAGATAATTAAAAAAAAATCACATTATGGTCCCTTCCCCATGTAATCAACATTTTATCCTGCAAACACACATATGTGAGTAACTTTATTCACTTGAGTAGCCCCAGGGGCATAAAATATAGAATCACCAAAATACAGGGCTGGAAGGGACCTCAAGAGGTCATCTAGTCTCTGCACTGAGGCAGGACTAAGTAGACCATTCCTGACAGGTGTTTGTCTAACCTTTTCTTAAAAACTTCTAATGATGGGGATTCCACAACTACCCTTGGAAGCCTTTTCCAGTGCCTAACTATCCTTATAGTTAGAAAGTCTTTTCTAATATTTAGCCTAAATCACATTTGCTCAGATTAAGCTGATTCCTTTTTTGTCCTACCTTCAGTGGATATAGAGAATAATTGATCACCATCCTCTTTATAACATCCCTTCAAATATATGACAACTGTTATCAAGTCCCTCGGAAAGTCTATTTACATGAGTAAAGTTACTTACATAAGTATTTGAGAATTGCAACCTATAATGATTCCCCATTTACAATTACATTTTGAGACCTGTCAGTTAGCCAGTTTTTAATCCATGTAATGTGTGCTATATTGATTTTTCATTGTTCTAGTGTCTCAATCAAAATATCATGTGGTACCATGTCATCTCTTAGGGAAATCTTAGGGATATCAAGATAGTCTATAAACAATAGAAAAAAGATGGGATTTAAAGAAAAGTGAGATGCAGACAGTGTGACTGCTAGTAACTGTATCTTGCTTTCTGAATACAAAAGGGAAAATGTAAGTGAAAAAGGGAACCAAAATCAAAACAGAAAAGACCTTATCCGTCACTTTTCATCTAAAGGGCATTAAATATGCAGAAAGTGCTACCAGACAAGATTGCTGAGGCATATATTCTGGGATCATTAAAGTAAGAATTAAATGACATAATGAGTATAACAATGAATAAATGAAAAGTCTCTAAGTTCCAACTGGCATTTTCCGATTCATGATGTACTTACATTCTCATGTCTCTTCCACCGCCATACCACAAATATGGAAACATATCTTTCCATGTAGCTCTGGGGTATATTAACCAGTTTTGTAAGAGTCAGGGAAGGACTGATGGCTTAGTCCTGCAAGGTGCTGAGCACTCTAGCCCTGGTCCAGCAAAGCACTTTCGCACATGTTTAACTTGACGCAAGTGAGTAATGGGACTACTACTCACATGTTTCAAGTTAAACATGTGCTTAAATGCTATGCTGGATTAGCACCATTTGTGTTCAGCACCTTGAAGGATTGAACCCTTAAAGCAGTACTTCCAGAGACACCTCATACAAAAATCAGGTTGTTCAAAAGTAATGAAATAAAAGTGAAAGGTCAGTCCCTCGGTAGAGATCATTTGAAGAGAGGCCCCAAATTCATATCTAGTACCCTTCCCAAGGTTTTTGTAATAGCTGAGTTCATTATTTTCAGTCTTGCAAGATTATTTTCCTTGTCATACATACTCCCATGAAGCTTCGATGAATAGACTCACCCTAAGGGTAGATCTATCTTAATCTCCCTTTTCAGACTTCCCCTCCAAAAAGAAATATAAGAAAAAAAAACCTAAATTTAAACTTCTGCATTGCCCTACTTTTGAGAGGATACATTTGTAATGTGAATGTCATTAACCACTTAAAATGAAGCTTAAATAAGACTTAAGTGGGAGCTACGTCTTGTGCTGGCTTTTCTCTGAAGGGTGAATTTCACCCCAACTCAAATGAACATTCTAAGTCTGAGACATTGCTTTAGTTACCACTTTTCCACATTTTCAGTAGTCTCTGCCAAGAGTCCTAAAGGCACAGTATAAGAAATAGAAGAGGAGATTACAAAACCTTGTCCCAGTACTCTTTTAGAAATAACACATTTTTAAAGCAACACTAATAGTTGACCCAAAGCCGTAGTTCAAATAGATCAAATTAATAAACAAATCCCTATATTCGAAGCACTTTAATGCAGCTCCACAACAAAAAAGCTCAATTCAGATCTGTTCAGTTGCCTGCCCCACCCCCAATTTATGTTATAGAAGAATCTCAGAAGGATAAGGTTCTAGGTTTTCCTCAGGTCATGAAATTAATTGAGCATGGAAACCACTAATAAGAAACAATAATTTCAAAGGAAAGAGATGATACTAACAGCTTTCCTCTTTAGTTGGACTAGAGGCCACTTGTTCTTTGGCAGAAGGAAGCCCATCTGCTTGGGATAGCTGAAAAATGCTAAACTTCAAATGCTCAGAAAACCAACTTTAACAGTGCCTTGGGCAGCAGCAGCTCAAATAAGGCAATATTACAAGCATCTCAACAGGATAAAAGAGCTAGTTCTATAAATCTGTCAACCTGCAGGAGTGGTAAATTCGTAATAAAATATTAAATCAGCTGTGCAGGATAATCTATGTTTTTTAATATGTTTCAGGAAAGGAAGAACTATTTCATCTTATTAGCTGTGAGAACTAAACAAAAGAGGAAGAGGCAGTGTTGGCAGGCAGTGGTACATTTAAAGTTAACTAGATAGCTCAAATTGAATTGCACCTTGTTTTTTTGCTCCACTGGATTTTTATGCTTTCAGAAGTGATTTATGAAAGCTTTTCTGAAATACTAAACAGGTAAAATAAAATAGAGGAGACAATCACTTACCAATTATTATGGGTTGTGGTTCACTTTTTACTCCAACACCTGCACTGGTACTTGCTGCAACTTCCACTCGATATTGAATACCAGGGTATAGGCCACCTATCACTACAGAGCGAATGGCTGCATCTACTGTTTTGTTGATGTGAAATCGAGTCTCATTACCTAGGCACCAGATCTGGGGTAGGGATTGGAGAAATAAAACAATATGAAAATAATCATGCTTGCAAACAATGGTGCACAAATATTGTATATTAATATACTGTACTGGGAATACATATATTGATATGTTGAAATGCAACTGCTAAATTCCTTTAAACTTTTAGGCCTGATTCTGCAAAGACTTATGCACATGCTTAACTTTACACATGGCTAAAATTCTCATTCTTGCTCTGGCCTCTTTACACCAGGTAAAAGAGCCAGAGCAGCATAAAGGGGCTATCTTAAAGCCCTAGATCCAACCAGTGTGTAGGAATGGAGAAAGCCTGCCACATGCTATCTTCCAAGGACCCACTTACCAGCCCTGACATAGGGGGAATGCTGGGAACAGTGCTGGGGGTGGAGAGGCATGCTGGAGGTGGAGCACATAGCATGGCAGACATTCTTCATGGTACTACTGTCCACAGGCAGCTGGGGATGGGATTCAAAAAGCCCCCAAGCAGCCCAGGATCAGTAGGGTTCAAAGATGGCTTAAAAATCACCTCCTTCCCCATGTTCCTGGGCTGTAAGTTCTATGCTTCAATTCTTAGAGGCACAGCCCAGAATCTCACCCATTGACTTTAATGACATTAAGCATATGCATACATCTTTGCTGGATCTGGCTCTTGTTCAGTTACTATGGCTATAATCTACGGTTTCCTAAAATTATTTTTTCAGTCTCATTTTTTTCCTATTGAATAGAAAATGTGCATCAAATATTACAACAAGAAGCATGTTGAAACACTCCTAAGAATATTATACAAAATCTCCTTTTAAGTATTTTCAGCTTTCTATCCTGGTAGAAAAAGGGTGTGTGCCATTTCTAAAATGCTATGCTATGTTGTTGCCGTCATAACTGAAATTGTTCAGGAATCTAAATTTTGCGGTCTGACTTATTTTACCCTGTAATTCAACAAACACAAAAAATGCTCCCTACATATCCTGATATGTGCCATATTTCAAACCAGCACTTTGTGGCGCGAGTGGTATATTATTTCAAGGCAGTTTTGCTTCTCTCTCTTATATTTATTCATGAGCATTTCCTGAGACATTTTAGCATTGAGATGTTCAGGGACTCTTTTTTAGTTGAAGGGATCTGTGGAGACTATTACTATAATATTAAAGAATGCATTAACTACCACTCTAATTCCACTCAAGGGAACCAATACATAAAAAATCTCATATATGCATGTATGTAATTACTGTACCAAAGGAAGGTGCTGCTGGTTGAAAACAACATGCGGTTGCTGACAAAGGGCTGGATTATCACAGACTTTACTTGGCTCAGCGGAAGAGAAAGCAGGAGTAACATCCCCATTGCTCCTATGCTTGGCACTGCTCAGTTTTTGACTCTAGCTTCACAGTACCAGGGGCTACTCACCTGATACACCTCCCTGTAAGCAAGGAGTGGGGGATGGAAGAATCCCTGCTTCCCTTAGGCTCAAATAGAGCTTATTTGCTGGCCAGAGTCCTGGCCAGGTGCATGAGGGAATGGGGAGGAGTCATCATGATTTGTCCTGATCTGGCCCTGGGAAAGTACAATATTACATGGTGCTCCTAATTTAAGGCAGACTGTAAGGTTGCAAACCAGCACTTAGTTAATGAAAGCATTTTGGACTATTTTGACAATGGAATTGTTGTAGGCATAAATGAATGAAGAAACAAAATTCGCAGATGTGTGTGTAGCTCAGATTGTAGGAAAATGCTGAGATATTATATTACTTAATAAGAGAAATATCACATAAGCAAGTAATTGCAGATTAATTAAGATTTTCAAAAATAGGTGCATAAAGGTACGATCCTAAATTCACATTTATTTAGGTACCTAAATAAGGTACCTAATTTTTAAAAGTGCTGATCATACAATGCTTGCCACTGAGGTAAATGGCAGCTACTGGGTCACTTTTGAAAATCATGTCAATCAGGTACATAAATATGGAATTAAGAGCCCAAATTTAGTCTCCTAGGTTTTGAAAATCTTGGCCTATGTCCCAGTGCATATGTATAAAAGTTAAGAGTTAAAGTTGTGTGGATAACTCTTATGCATTTTCTGATGTTTTTAATGCTTAACCGCGAAGTCATAACATTCTCTTAAGATAGTTTTTTTAATGGAATTTATATGAAGCAAATATTGACATACTGGAGTTGGTATGAAGATGAATTGATGTGAAAATGAGGTTTCAACAGCATAGTTGGTTTAATAAATTGTGGTATTGACCAAACCAAATAAAACAAAACAACAAACTAATACATTACAAATAAATATTGTGTGTCTTTAAAACACCTACTCAAGAGAGCGAAACATAAAAGAGCCTACACTGATTTTAAAACTAAGTGCCTGCCTCCCTCCTCCATCTTTGAGTCAGATTCACCCACATTGGAGCAGGGGGTATAAATTACACTTTCCTGTGTGAGATGACCAAACTGCACCCACAAGTGGCAATGCCAACACTTCCACTCTTCTGGGACTTCTGTTGGGGCAGGGCAGCTTCCATTTCCACCAGAGGCTCCATATGAGACCCACTATCTCAGGCTATTGAAGATACTCACTAAAATAGTGTATCCCCCTATCCACAACCTTCTGACATCCCCAGTAGGATTTCTCCCTGAAGAAGGGAAGTTGTGGCCACTTTCCCCAGATGCAACCTCTGGCAGTTTTTTTTGCCTCTGGAGCTTTGTTCCTGGATTCCCACTAGCTTCCACTGGCAGAAACCCATGCTGAATCTGCCCCAAGAGTATGGCTTCTCAAGTTAATTCTCTGATCTCTAGCATGTATGCTGCCAAGCCCATCATTTCCCCCTGGCATTTGGGTAGAAGATGTGATGAGGGCTGAAAGGGTTTTACTACTATTACACCTGCTGTGCAGGGCTATTTCTGTTATTCTATGTGCTGCTGGGTATTTATTTACTGGAGTGGGATGAACAGTCCATCGGATAGCATTTTGTGACATATCCACGTTGTAAACATTTATTTATGCATAAGTGGTCCAAGCATGGGATTGACCATTGACTGATACGGCCTCTGAGGATGACACCTTGCAGACAGCACATCAATGATGGAGGACAAAAGATAAGTAAAGTGAGCTACTAACCCACTGAGAAACAGAGACAGCATACTAGTGATGTTCAACCTGTTGCCCCGGGGAGGCTGCTTGTGGCCTGCAGTTCTCTAAATTATGGCCCTTAAAGGTGACCGTGGAAGAAGATTTGAATTTGATTACAAATTGAACTTGTGTTCTCAGGGTCATGCCCTATGATTTTTACACTGAAGTGTTTGAGTCAGCTTTGTTTCAGGGCAGGGAGGAAGGAGTAGCTTTGGCTGATCCACTGCCAGCTTCCCTGTCAGGCAGTGGGAGCTCTAGGATAGGAGCTTGGCTGATTCACCCCGAGCCTAGAGTAGTACCTAGTACAAGATGGCTTCTCTCCCCCTCACAGATCAGTTTTGTTTTTAACATAATGTTGATGCTGCTTAACTTGAGAAAAAAAGGTATAACTGCTCAGACCTCTCTGCTTGTTATTATATAGATGCGTATTTCATTATGTCAAAATCTAAATCCACAAAAAAAATGTGATGTTCTATTATTCAACCACACAATTTGGTTTAATTCACATCCCTCCCATTGTACATCAATTCTACCTTATACTCCTGGATGATTCCATTTTGGTGATCTGGTGGGGGAGGGTCCCAGGAAATGCTGATGCTTGTGCTGTTATGATTTCCAACTGTTAGAACAGTAACAGACTGCGGAGGGGCACTTGGAGCTGTACCGGGTAGAAGGAACAAATAGAAGAATGACATTAGTCCAGTTGCTGGATCATTAATTTTGCTTAAACAGTGTAAGAGTAAGCAGAGAGTCTATGAAGTTTGCATTCTCATGGGCTTGGAGATGCATACATTCTTGGGCAACGACAATTATGAAAAATGCCTTTCTGAAGAGAAGCAGAGCATTGAATGAAAATGCAGTAGTTGTGAAACATAGAAGCAATGCAAATCACTCTTATTTTATTTGTTTATTTATTTGTTTTAGCATGTCTCAAGTTTACATTAGAATTAGTCTCAGACTTATATTCATTTTCTTATACACATGGTTGCGACTGCATGCAGAAATTAAATCTGCTAACTCAGTCCGCCCTAAACATTGTTCTGATCCTCCTATCCCCACTGTCCCTCCATGATCTAATATTGCCTAGTGATAAATAGAAGGGGATATTTTTAAAGACACGTATCCTTAAGGTATTTAAATGTAGGATATTCCAGTTTTTGCCTGGCCAAAGAGTTAAAACACATGGGGCTTTAATCTCACTCACATTGCCAGAGAAATGGTCATATACATTGTTACTTCTTTTGATTTGAGGGATTAGCCAAAATTTTGGGGCCTTGTGGGTTGTCCCAGTTAGGAGGATAAATTGATGATGCAGTCAGGTATTTCTCTGAAGCAATCCTGTTTATTTACAAAGAATATCAGTGCTCAAACCTCTCCGGGACAGAGCAGGAATCAAACAATCAGACAAATGACAATTTCTTTGCTTACAGTTTGAAGCCTCTTTCACACAGCACTGAGCTCAAAAAGATCTCTCTATCTAGGCTTTTCCTCGGGGCCATGCTCCAAGTGCTCATCCAGGCCGTGCCCCTGTCTTTCTGCTCTTCCTCTGTGTAGCCTTTTATTTTGCTTAAAGTGAATTTAATGTTATAATACACCACCGTGGGTTCAGCTCTGGTTGCTACCGTTTGAAGCTCAACAGAGTGAAAGTTGCCTCTGGTGCTTTTTTCAAATGTGGAGTCTCTAGAAACACACCAAGTCCAAGGATAGGGACTACATACACAATCACAAGTACAAAGTCCTGTCCATACTACAAGTTTTATTAAAGCAATAAGTAAAGTTACAATTACAATTGTAAATAAGTAAAGTTACAATTACAATTGTAACTTTAATGTTTAATTATTAACATGCAATAATTAAAACTGCAGTCATACACACATCCACAAAAATATTCTAGGGTCTGATGGACTTCTCAATAGATGATCATTGCTAGAGGTATGGTTCCTGCTGGAGGGATGAGATCATTCCTTGGGTTTTCCTACTTTTACCCAATCATGGAACCATCTTTTATATTGTAATTCTGACTACACCTAACTCCTTATACATATGTATGAAGGTGCTCTCTTTTCCTGATTTGTTCTTCCACACCCCATGACTATTGGGGTGCCTCATTTTTCATAGGCTGTTCTTAGTTCCTCTTATTCTCATTAGCATCTACGCACAACATGTAGCCAGCAGTCAAGACAACATTCAAAGATGTTACAATTAGGTGTCTAGTGGTTTTGGACAATACACTGTGGTCATTACGATCTACTTTTCCGTAACATCACGTGTTGGCACATCTTTACAGTAATCTTGTGACTTTACTGCACAAAGTTATTCCCAGTTCACCCACTCTTGTCAAATGTTCTTAAGCCTAGGACCTAGTATGGCTAAACTAACATCTTACAGGTCTCAGCCTGCAGGCCTGCGTTCCAGCCATGCTTTACTTACACACATAATACACACTCATCGCTCCTAAATACTTATCAATCCTATACTTGTATAATCCTACAATTTATTTCTATTTACCCTATATCAATTATATATGAAATAGCATATGAACTGACCATAACATCACATAATAGAATGGTCAAGGGATGATAAAATGAAATAATGAACATCTGTAACCCTTTGTGGTGTGCATCTCTCTCACATGCATCCCCACTCAAAATAGCAAAACCTCTCCACCCATACAGTTAAAATTTCTGAATGACCTCACATGTGCTATTCTTGTAGGTGGTGACATGTGCCTGTGTTTTGTTTGAGGCCCCTATTGTTTCAGCTACCTGGTTCCATAAAGAAGTTTAATTGCATCTTAAAATTATTTTACCCTCTGCTTCAACGATATTGAACCCAACTCATAAAAATATCCACATCTTCTTTTCCCTGGGCGGTTCCTGTTCTGCTCCATCATTCACTCTTGTCCTGCAGCTTTTTGTATGTTTAATCACTTGAGGGTATTGAACATTTATGATATCTCATTCTTTTGCAGTCTCTCTTCCCATGTCCATGCCCCAGATAAAGAATACAGAAGTGTTGCCACAGTTCCAGGCTAAGTCACCAAAGTGATTTGTGTTATTAAGACATTTCCCTGGGAAAGAATGTCATCACCTTCAGCATGACGCCTTTATTCCACAAGTGAGAATGTGTGAACTGCAGGGTCCCCCAATTATTTTTTAAAGATGTTATGGTAGAGACTACATTATCAATTTCACAGCACCATTAGCACATTCATTAGAGAACCCACTGGCATTCCAAGCACTTCTCACTCTTGCTGTGATGCCAAGTTCTGAAAGCCTCAGCAACCTGTAGGTCCAGGGTTTTTTCTGGTACATTTCTGTCACATTAAACAAAAAAATCACTGAGGTCCAGGATTTCCAACTGAAGCCTTTCCCTCAGTTTTCTCCTCTAGCTCTGTATTCCTGTCCATAAAGGACTTGGTTCACTTTGTTGCTCCATTAGTTCTGAGGGCACCAAAACTCTGGAAAAGTCCTTTCATTACTGGGTTTTCCTGATTGTTTAAACACCCTTAGACCATAGTTCCCTGAAAAATGGGCCCAAAGTCACCGTCATCTCCCTATTCACCTTTTGATCTTCCCTGGCTTTCAATGCCTGGGTTACCCAAAAGCCCTGGCAGCCTCAGGACAGCTGGGATGTCAAGATCACTCAAGTTTCCTGAGTCAGTCCAGGATACATTAATTTTTCCTATGGCTTCTCGACTACACCTGATGTTTTGCAGAATATGACCAATAAATCTGGATCCAGGAATTTAAACTCAACTCCTTTTAATGACTGTAATGGGGGGATCTCACCTCTTGAGAGACTCCTAGTAGCTGAGTGTGGTACACAATCTTTTTCTCATGCCTGGAACCTTCTGTAGGCTGCCAGCTGACCTTGGTGGGGCTTGAGTGGCTTGGCCCTCCAACCAAGTCACAAAGTCCAAATGAAACACTTCTGAGATATAAAGAGTTCAATGAATGAACAGTAACACTGCTCTCACTAGGGTCTTCAGCCCCAGCTCTGGACCCTTTAAATTCAGCCCTGTGTTTAGGTTCTCAAATAAGCTATGTCCCCTTCTTCGGGTTTATGCCACTGTGACTGGTAGAGGAACCTGGGATCTCTGACTACTTTGGGTTCCAACTCAGGGACCTTATACATAGCAGCCACATAGTGCTTAATTTCAGTTTGTTGTTGTTTCTTCCCTGGGGTGCTTCCTACCTAGTCCCCCCCTCCCTTATTTATTTATTTATTTTTGCTTCACTCTTATCTCAGGATCAAAGTTCTTAGTCCTCTCTCTCTCCCTGCAAACCCAGCTATTCAAATGCAGCCAGCACCAAACTCTGGCTATCCCTTGAGCACCTGTGGTCAGAGAGGAGAACCTGGCCTTGCCTCTCTTGTCTGAGCCAGGAATTGACCTGCTAAGGCCCGGCAGCTCCTTTTATCTGAGCCTGCTGGGTTCTGATTGGCTACTTCTGTGAAACCTCTCAAAGCAGGCCTGGAGGACCCACCTACACTGCTCTTTTCCTCTGAGCTCACTGCTGGTCTGGGATATCTTTGTCTCCCTGCTTGGGATCTTGACCTACCCCAAGCTCTTTGAATGCATGAACCTGGAGGCCACCTCCCTCCATAACCATCCTCTATTGGGGTCTTCATTCCAGAACCTATTCCCTTTTTGTCTTCCCAATACCACCTACTGGTATGGCCTCCACTACTGGTACTGTCTTCTATACTTAATGCCACACCCTTGCATCGAGGTGGAAGAGTCCCCCACAAGTGTGAGAACGTAGGGTTCTTCACACAAAGCCCCTCATATCTACTTTCCTAACTGCCACCTCCTATCTCCTAGCTGTAGGAATATCCTGCTTGACCTCTCCAAAGGGACTGCTCTGACCTGGGATTCTTATCCATAGCCCTCAGGACTCTAACTTCCCCCATATGGTTCAAAATATTATGATAGAAAGCATTCTGGAGTTCTTGCCAAACTTCCCTGTTGTTGCTCTATCACGTTGATCACTAGCAGCAGGTTGGCTGTGGTAGCCTCTTCTTTTATGGTGGTCATCTTCTGCTCTTAGGTTGCTGCCTGTTGTTGTTGCAGGATCAACAGACGTGCCTCCATCTTTCCCTTCTTTCAGGGTCTGGTCTGAAAATCCCACTTCCAGTACCAAATCATAATGGGGCCCTCACCTCTTGAGTGCCTCCTAGCAGCTAAGTGTGGTACCACAGTCCTTTACTCGCCCATTGCAGTGTAGTGGTCTCTAAGGAACTGCAGTAGCTGATGTAACTTGTGCAGCACTTAAATTGCTCTAAGTTACTCCAGGGGCAAATTGGCCCCTGGCCAACCCAAATCAGTGAAGCAGAAAGGTGGCCTAAAGCTACTTTTCTCAACCATGCTGAGTATAAAATTGGTGCCGTTGAAGACTAGGACCTAAGTTTTGTAGCACTTGAAACAGAACTAAGCCACATAATAAAAACAGTATCAATATAAAAAAAATCTATTCTCTCTTTAACAACAAAAATGTAAATAAACGTACCTGATTCTAAAAGAAAATTAATAATAAATGCATGAACCTGTAGGACATCTCTCTCTATAACCATCCTCCGTTGGGGTCTCCATTCCTGAACCTATTCCCTTTCTCTCTTCCCAATACCACCAACTGGTAGGGCTTCCCACACTGGAACTGTCTTCTATACTTAAAGCCACACCCTTGCACCTGCATTATTATTATAATGGCAGAGATTAAAACTAAGCTGCTTATCCTCTTTGCATTAAAATATAATGGACTGTTTTGTTGAAATACATTCACTTCCCTCCTTAACGTGTATAACATTCATTTATATACAAAAATACACAATGCATATGGAAAGATAATACATCACATATACATACTGTACAAACCTATGTAGAGATAGAGAACTGAACAAATACTGCAAGATATTTTTGAAAAATATTCATTTTCGTTAAAAAAAAAACCCTTCAGTTCAACTGTATTAATTCCTTCTTTGAGTTTATATTTTATGACTATTATAGTGAATTAATTTACCGGAATTTTAAGAGGATACAGAATAATATTAATGGAAAGTGAAATTGAAATTAATAAAAGCCTTGAGTCAGACTAATCCAAACAGCAAGTGGACACTATGAAAACAGTGTCCAATGAACACTAAACAAGAGAGCTCAAGTTTAGAATACCATACATTTGCAATGAACAGGTCATGAACAACACACAGACCAAGTATTAATTATTTCCTGAGGAATTTCAAATAAGTGAATGAATTTGAAAAAAAAAATCATGTTCAGCTTTTAGGATAATTTGTGAACAAAAAACCTGAAACTTATCAAATACATGATCCATTATTATTTGTCCAGTTCTCTCTTTTGCGTGTGTGTGTGTATAGACAGTCCTGACTTCTCTCTCTATGATAATATTGCTCTGTCAGCTGGCACCATGATATAAATTAAACCACTTGTCTGACTGTGCTGTAGTTATTAAATAGACCACACTGAAAAATAACATTTTTAAAACTGTTTTCTCATTTCCCTTGATGCTGGCTTGTGGAGAACACCTTGCCTGATTCTTGACAGATCAATTATTCCAGTGCTCAGCTTCTTGCTACAGATATGAAAGAACCCAAATCACTGCTCATCTTTTCCAGACGCAACCAAACAGAATTCCATTTGTTACTTTCACAAGGCCAAAGAGGTAGGAGATGAATGGATACTGAATTGTAACAAATGTCTGATCTAGAGGAAAAGTCTAACTGTGGTGAAATTGATTTTTGGAGGTAGGCCTCAGAAGTAACATTCTATGTCAAATTAAATCCAGTAAAAAAGCTGAAACTTCTTTCTGGTAGTACATTGCCTTTGCCAAAGCTATATATTTTGATGCTGCAAAAATATACAGTATTCACAGCACTCTTCCAAATTGTTTCTCTAAAGATAGTATAACTGACTTTTTCAAAAGTCAGGTCTGAAAAGTCTGATTTTCAAAACAGAATCAGATGTCAATGCAACAAGTGTGATACCTTTAAAAATACTACTCCTTTTATGTATGAATGAGAAGTAAATCATATTCACCAAACATTTATTTGGGACTATCTTTACAAAAGTATGAACAGCAAGGTAATTACAAAGATAATTGGAAGAATCAAAGGAAATAGCCATTGAAATACACTCACTAAGTTTCTCACGGAAGCTTATGTTACCTATTGGTGCTTTGATAGAAAAAAAGTCTATCACACAAGCAGTTAAATACTGTGGGGGTTGGGGAATCTTTTATAGTGGTTGACATTTGACAGGTGGCAACCATTTGTTTTTCTGAAGAAGACACTAGTCAACAGAGTGGCCGAAGGTTAGACTAATATACACATGGACTGTGACTTTAACACATCTGTAGGCAAGGAAAGTTCTAAAAATCTTTACTGTGTAGAAAGTTATTCCACAAGAAAAAGTGGCCTTTAAAGTAGGAAATTACCTGACAGGTTCTGCTGGGAGGTGAGGGTTACAAATGAAAATGTCACTCCTGAAGTACTTTACAGAAGTAGACTACAGATACAAAACCTTTTCTCTTTTTTAGCGAGTCTTAATTTAACTTTAGCAGGAGACACTTAGATGAACTAAATAAACAACAAAAATCAATTGAGAATGGACAAGAATAAAATCCTCTAGTGAGGGGGAGAAAAATCCTATAGTGAAATTCTAGCAAAGCAATTTCAACTCAGTAAGCTTTTTCCAATTTTCTTTTTTTAAACTTTTAAAACAAGCTTTGTTCATACTACAGTGAAGCTAATCTTTACTGAAGAATTTAGGATTTATGATCTAATCGAAGCAATGGGAGTCAGGCATTCCCAAATTCTTAACTTGCCTTTGTCAATGACTCCCTGTATGATCTCAAGCAAGTCATAGGACCCTCAGTTTCTCCATCTGCAAAACAGGGACAGCAACTACCTAACTCACAAAACTGATCCCAGGGTTGGTTGCTTAACTGTTGTCTAATTAAGTAATTATAACATGTTTGAAGGTGAAAAGTATAATAATAATAATAACAACAACATCAACAACTATGATGATGACATGTTCCATTCCAAGATCTCAAAGCATGCTGCAATCATTATTGAATAAACTTCCTCACAACACCCTATGAGTAATGGAGATCACATAGACCCATATCTGAATGATAAAAAAACTCAGGCACAGAAAGATTACAGTCAAGATTTTAATAAAATAGATGCCCATTTTGAAAGTCTTGGCCTACATTTCTTGCCTAAGGCTTCAAAAGAAGTCTGTGGCAGAGCCAGGAAGATAGCCCAGATCTCTTGACTCCAGGTTTGTAGTTTGGCCACAAGACCATCCAAGAGATGCCAAAGGTGGCTCAGATACTATGGAAATAGGGATGATTAGATAATTTTTTTAAAAAAATTGTGTGTGTGTGTGCGGGGGGAGAGAATATTTATGTCAAAGCCAGCTTAATTTCTCCTCTCTTTACACTCCAGCCAACTCTAAAAGCATCTCTTTCTAAGCAGAACAATACATCTATGTTGCATGATGTACAGAGGGTTGTTTCTTCATTTCGGTGTTATAAGATGGTTGCTACTTCTGTATCGTATGCATGTTCTGATCTGTGTTTTAAGGACATTTTCCTGACACTGAGTAACGGACAACTGGTTTCATTGTATTTAGCACCATAGAGGGCTGCTTCAAGAATGGTGTGCTACTTGGACTAGTCTTAGTGTTTTTGCACACTAATTAAAGGCATTATTGGGAATCCTTCACCCATCCTCTTCTCCTAGCCATGCCATCCATCTATGTTATTTCCTATTCAGAAAAGAATGCCTATTATTACTCAGTCATCTGCAAAAGGTTTCTCTACTTGCAAACCATGGACTGGGTCTGCTGCACCAGCAGCCTGGGTACTTTAAAGGAAATGCTGTTGCAGAACACGTGTCAGAAACCCAAAATTGCTTGCTGCACACGTTGAAGAGACAAAAGGTAAATTTGTTAGTCTCTAAGGTGTCACAAGTACTCCTGTTCTTCTTCTGGAGAAGAGAGGCATAGGACTGGCCAATGCAGACCCCATAGCATTATACCACCCAAATAGATTGTTAGGTGAAATCCTAAAGCCAGTTTTTCATGCAAAACAGGGAAAGCTGCAGTGAATTATGTACAGACATTTTGGAAACTAATTAGAACAAAATTATTTGCACAGTCTTCACAATGAACACAATGATTTCCCCTTTGAGACAAGATGGGGAAACCGGTTGCTTTTTTTTGACAATTATACTAACCTTCTTCAGTAGTACGGGCAGACTTTGATTCACTATCCATTCCTTGGAATTCATTGAAATAGGGTCGAACTTTAATTTCATAAGAAACCCCTTTTTTCAAGTTGACTAGGACAGCACTGCGCTCAGTGGGGACTTTCACATCCAAATTCTGCCATGCCATTGGAGAAGACAGGCCTGATGTTTGGCGATACATTACTCGATAGCCCTGAATAAACTGGGATTGGCGGTCAACCTGGAAATAGTATGAATTGGCACATTAATATACATTTTAAAGTACATGATCCATAATCCAATAATGAAACCAAAAAGGCTACTTACTATATTCATGTGTTTATGACAAACAGCAAACTAGTCAGTTGCCTGTTATTGACTTCCTCAAAATCTAAAATTAAAGCTTCTTGTGGATTACTGTCATTTCACTTAATTTTTTTAAAGTGGTGTAACTCTCTCATTGTTCCCTTTACTTTATCCCATTAGATATTATGATACACCCACCTACATCTCAAAGCATAAAATAAATAACAAAAATCATAAGTAGATAATTTTCTAGCAATTTGTCATAATGAGTATTGCATGTAAAACAATTAAAACTAACTTGGCTACTGATTTGCTGAAATATAAGAAAGAAAGGAAAAACAATTTATTTTCAGAAAAGTACAAAGCTTTCAAGATTACTATATGCTTTTAGTTAGTCCATTACTTGGCTTACGGCTGGTCCTTTCATGAGATATTCAGGAAAGCAAAATAAACATAGACAGATGCAGAAAAACAATGACCAAGAAAATGTGTTGTTTCCTGTGTTCTTAGACTAACCAGTCTATTTGCATTCTGAGGTTACAAAGCACTCATGCCATCAGATGAGGATGGAATGTTGTTGTTGTTTGTATTTAATTTGTTGCCGTGCAAACAGAATTCAAGGTCAGGGTTGTATACAGTAATATAACAATTCTACCCTGTCTTTCAAAACAATAAACATTACAGTAATTGAAAGAAAGATAGTTCAAAATGTATTATCTTGAAGTGACCACAAGCATTTTTATCTGGAAAAAAATGTATCATATCAAATAACGTTGAGGTATTATGCCATACTGTACTGTAACATTTGCACGAATTTGTATTTTAATCTCTAACAGTCAAAATGTTGCATGCTAAAAGAAGATTTTCACTTCTGCAGTTGTCAAGCAAACAGCCAAAGAAAATAATACAAGTAGCACGTTCTGTGTGTCAGTTTGGACATATAGCTGACTGGGTTGTTAACTCTAGTCTTATAGCTGAGTTGTGACAAGAACAATTTCCTTCACCCTCTTGACAGCTTGCTAACTCATCAAAGATTTTCCAGAATTAGAGCTATGCTTGTTTGGGCTATGTCAAGAATAAGTGGGTCCAAGACTGAAGGCACAAACCAAGATCTTCTGACTTCCACTACCTTTACTATACCCCTCACTTACTAGTCATTAAGTTCTTCAGTTCTTATAACATTAAAAAACAGGGCAAGCAAGAAGAAATCTTAATTTACAAGAGCAAAGCAAAAATGTCTTTAATCAAAATTGTCACTGTTAAAAACCTTGCAACATATGTTACAACAACATTAAGCCTGCATTTTATAAACTTTTCTACATTCACTTTAAGTGAATTTATGCACTGAAAGAGGGACATAACTCACAATAATAGCTTGTTAATACTGAAAGAATCAAGCTGTGTTTTTAAGAAGAACATTAAGCAGCTGTTTCCAGATGAAGGGAGTCTGTAAATCAGGGTAAATTGTTTTTATCCATGTTTGACTTTCATTAATTAAATGTTTTACAGACGTAAAGACTTTATGAACCTCACGTTTACTACGAAATACAGTATTAACTCCTTTGCATACTTCATAATACATCATTTTCACCTAAACTATAGTATATGGCTGAGCTGTTTAATAATCCAAAGGTAATTTAAAATTAGATTTCTCTCGAAACTTCAGAAAAATACAGTGTCACTTTTAATCTGACTTTTTTTTTTTTTTTTTTTGCTGAATCTTTAAGAACTGATGGTTACAAAGAGTTGTCAAAAAGGGAAAATTTAAAAAATACTACGCTGAAAATCAGTAGGCTGTATATAAAATATGTGTATATTTGAGTTTGTGACACCTAAGCACCCACACAGAGTACATCTAATAATGAAGGCTCATAAAGCTGCATACAATGAAATTATAACTATTAATTCAGATCACCAGATTTTAGCCATTAAATATCTTCAATTCTGAAGTATGAGGTATTGCAAGCATTCACTATACTACTAAATATTAGAACAGAAGACCTTGCTAACCATTTTATAACACGCTCAATAATGTAACTAATAAAGCACCATCTATAGTGTCATCATTTCACTTGTGGTGTGTGCTTATGCACTGCCACCTGAAACACCCTGACATATTGTTAATGTCATGTATTTGAGCCAGACTGTGGCTGGCCCCACAATCATATGCAAGGAATATCAGGGAGGACACAAGGAAAAGCGTCTCTTCTCTTGTCCTACACAGGATGCAGCCACAGACTACTCCTAGCTAGTACAGATAGCAATGCTATCCACGCAAAAAAGCTGGAGAGGAGGTGGAACTAAGGGCACCTTTCTTCCTTCAAATAAGAGAGTGCATATGCCTTCAAGGGGCATATAAACTGGTACCAGAGAATAATTGCTAGTGGGCTGCTGCTCTACACTGCCCCCAATATCATGTGATGCCTTAAAAGGCACAATTGATCTCGATGTCATGATGACTATTTAGTAGAGGAAATAACTGTAACACCAATCAGCTTCCTACACAGGGTAGGCAATAAACAATAGATTTTGTACTGAGCTAACATGTTTGTTTTACCTACTAATAGGACCAGTTAAATACACTAGTGACACTTTGTGCACTGTTAGCACTAGTTACAGATACATTTCTATGGACCAGGAAACTGCCTTTTCCAGATCTATGCACATCACCACCAAATGCTGTATGGATTCTAAACCCATTAGATTATACTATCAGGCTATTCAGGTGTTAAAAATATGACACAGAAATTCATCACTTAGCAAACCCTGTTGCTATGGCTTCCTGGGGACAAGCCCACTAAGCCGCAGTCTAAAGACATTTTGCAGAACACTTTTTTGTATGTAAATTCTCCTCCCAGAATATCCTGAATAAGATACTACTTATAATTATGCCAATAGCAATTCTCCATCTGGGCGGAATAACTTGTGAGTTTGGTCACGGCTACTGTACATCTCAGTCTGTGCCAAGTTCAGCAGTAAGAACTCACCATAACCTTGGAAATTCACCAGCATTCATGCCTGGCCAGAATATCCATAAGGGCTAGATGCAGGATCCTAGTGTGCTCTGAAATCTCTCAAAAGTAACTACTCCTGAAGTTTGAAGTGGGATATATCTAATATTTAAAGGGCTGCTCATAATTTCTTATCTCTGACACTCCTTTCAAATCCGTGGGGTTTACTTGGATAACTATGGGATGGGTAGCCAGCTGTCTCCCTCGCTCAGTTCCTTGCCTCCCAGCTCCCATGCTCTGTGTGAGTCCGTGTCTTATGCTGTGCACAGTGTGTGACTGAAAGCAGAGGAGTGAAGGGCAGTGAGATGAATTAGAATCAGTCAGCTGGTTCATCCACCTCTCTAGTATCATCAAAACCAACCTTCTAACACTCCATGGAAGGCACGGGGGTTGGAGAGAGAAGAAAAGACATTATAGGGACCAGGTGAGTTCTTGGCTGAGAGGGAAAACAATATTGTGGAACAGAAGAGGAGAAAGGGAAAGAGTAAGAACGCAGAGTGGACCAGGGCAGGGGAATTAAGCTGTATTGTTGAAGTGATGTGACAGCAGGAGAGTGCCGCATTAGAACTGGCACTTTTTTTTTTTTTTTTTTTGGTCAAAACAGTTTTCTGTTGGAAAATGCCATTAAGAGAAAGCCAATTTTTTTGTGAAACTCTATCAATTTTGACAAAATTTTACTGGGGGGAGAGGGTAAAAAGTCCCACGTTGCCATTTTTAGAACAGATGGTTTCAATTATTTGTTTTGAAACAACTTTTTGTTTCATTTTAAATTTTAAAAATGTACATTACAAATGATCAAAACTGAAACAAAACATTCTGAATTCATCAAAATGAAAGAGTTTGATTGACCTGAAACAAAAAACAAAAATGCAGAAATATGTTTAAAAAAAAATAAAATCAAAATTTGGGCCTTTGGTTCCAATTTGAGTTGAAACATTTTTTTGGAGTCTCTTTCAGAACTGTATAGTGTTTCCAGCCTGTGTTTCACCTACATAGACAAATTCTTTCAAACAGCAGAGTTTACTCATCATTTCCTGACATTTAGAAATTTATCCTCTGTAATGGAATGCTCAGACTATATTATAATGTACAGCCACTAGGTGACACCACTTATAACATACCTCACTTGAGCTGGTAACGGCTATAGGCAACAGTGCATTCATGTATCTCATAGAGAACACATCTCTTGTATCTCTCTCAACATGATGGAAGCTCTGTAGCCAGTTCATATCTGCTGCAGAAGCCTGACATGCTAGTAGCAGCCTTGCAACCTGCCATGTACAAGGAGTACATGACATCCTCACTTGGGCATTTCATCAAACCCCAATAAAGAACATTTTAAAAAGAAGGTATCATAAATGCCTTCAGTGGTGACTAGATCTGAGCAAATAATTCATAACAAAAAATTTATTGGACTCATGTAGACTCTTCTTCTTGTCACAGGACATCCACGAGCAGACAACCATTTCTCAAATATATTTGTTATTCAAAATTATTCAATGTCTTGCCATTTTTTAATCGTGTGTTCTAATCATGATTTATTTGTGCTGTGCTGGCTAGTTATGATTAGTGAGACAAGTCACATACTATAGTTTCCGTTCTCTTATTATATGAGTGCGAAAGTGTAACCCACACACCTCCTTGGTGTGGTGCTCTGGCCCATCTAGTAGCACTGAGACTACTTAGAGAAAGAGATTAATGAATCTGTTCTACAGCCTTAGCTAATAGGCATATGGTTTTTAGCTCATGCAGTAGAGTAGAGGCTCATGCACTAAAATTCAGAGGTCCCAGGTTCGATCCTGCACACCAACAACCATGGCCTGTCGGCATTACACAAGCATGGCTGATGTGAATTCTCACACACATGGTATCATGGACCCACAGGATCTGTGCTACTTCCTAGATTTTAAACAGTCCTTTGGAG